TTTTCTTGCTTTTGGTGGTGAAAAAAAAAGCCCCAAAACTGTCAGCAACAGCAGCACGTTGCTGTGTTGTGCAATATGCAAGTGCAATAATCTGCCAAATTCCCCTGGAGTTATGCATTCACTCTCATCTAAAGGAGGACAAGAAGGGGCACTTATACTAGCCCTCTGCTTTTGAAAACTTCAGATTTCTCCCACAGACATGGAGAGGGGGTGTGAGGAAGAGAGCATATACTGAAGAGAACCAGGGGTCCTTCTGTCCTGATGGGCAGGAGTCACCAGTGCGCGATGTCAGCCTCAAGGACTGACATCATTAGCAATAAAGAGAGCGATCCATGTAATCATTTCCCTTTACCTAGTACTCATTACACTGCACTCGATTTTGGGTCCTGCAACACAAGAAACACTGTGACAAATGAGAGCAAGCCCCACCAAAGCCCCCTGAAATGGGCCAGGGCCTGAAGCACTTCCTGTGTGAGGAGTGGCTGAGTGAGCTGGGCCCCCTTGAACCTGGAGGTGGTGGCTTTGAGGAAGGAGCTAACAGCACCYCCCTCCATCACAAACACAACCCAGCACGGAGCAGTTCACACTGTGAGGTTGAGCAGCCTCCTTCCTTAGAGGTTTTAAAGATGCTGTGGGAAAAGACCTGAGCAACTCAATCTGAATCCCACAAGGTCACTGMTTTCGGGGAAAGGTTAGGCTCGAGGACCTCCCAAGGTCTCTTTCAACCTGAGTGACTCTGATTTGTGTTTGCCATCTCTATTACTGTGAYACCACTGACAAGCCATATTCGGTGTCAGTTTTGTAGGAACATGGTCACGCCCTGTTCCTTCCTGCTGAGCTCTACTACCATTTCTATTCTCAGCAGTCCCTGAACTCTCAAGTGAAAGTGATTCTATTTATATTCATCTCATAAAATGTTTAAAACATCAGAAAAAAAAAAMCTGTCTACAATATGAAACACAGATCTGAGATGTAAAAGGAATACCAATGCTGTTCTTTTTCTGAGCAGCAGGTGGGCACAAGTCTTATTTCCATTAAGATGTTAAAGCTAAAAGCTTGAATATGTTTTTTTATCACTTTGAAAAGTATTTTCATGGAGATATATAAGCAGGTAAAAGCCATATTCAGATTTGGTTTGTGAAAGCAAGGAAACCAAGTGAAGAAAAATGAAATATTTGATCACTCTTATATTTAGTAACTACTTGGTAAAGTTAATAGGATCTTCAAACTATTAATTTTGCAGTTTTTTAGGGGGAAAACACCTTCTTAAGTAAGTGGGAAGACAACAAAATTTACACTAGAAAGTAATTATYAGGCTTTACACAACAGAGTACATGGACACCTTCTCCCTGTCATAAAGCTCCACCATCTGTTTTCTTGTGCTTGCCATCCCCAAATCAGAAGACAAATTCTGTTCACTTCACAGCAAAAGTTTCTGAAATGGGCTTTTGACCAGCAAGGAATTTTAACAGCAAATGAGCATCTGGGAGAAAAAGCTTCAATTACTAAGTATATCCTAATGATCTGTATTGTGACATAGACAGATCTAGGAAATAATCTTGAAATCCATGCCACCCTCCGTACTGATAAATTTTCATAAAAATCAGAGCCAAATTGAAGCTTCTGACAGTCACTGTCAGAATTCATATAGTATGACTGCATRAATTCCAAACTTACTAAAATACTGGTGTGGAATATTAATGGTGGTCATCTATTTTACAAAAATGTCAAGATTAGATGGTGACCCTGAAAAGATAAGATAGGGAGAAGACAATGGYAACATGATGTTTGTGGTAACATGACACCTAGTGTTCACTTTCAGGAAACTTCACTATTGGTGGGTGCCAAATGCTGAAGAAACATCAATGCCCCAGGACCTTCTTTCTAAAATAAAGGTAGATATTTATACTAGCATCTCTAACCAAACACCTGAATCACACAGACGCAGTGAAAATCGAGAGGAGGAAAGGAACAGAAAATCTGCTTGTGCTGCACTTGTCCTTCCTATTGAGTACACAATTTGGGCAACTGCTAAAAAAAAAAAAAGTGCTATCCAAACAAGTTTCACGTTGCTGGGTTGCTTTTTTTTTCCTTTAGGTTTCTGCTGAAAAAAAAAGTCTACCTATTGCTTTTTTTTTTTTCTGGTTGTGTATGGAAGTTATTAGAAAACYGGATCTACTACAAATAACATGCACAAGTTTAATCCCTATTAAAAAACAAAAAAACACAAAGAAGATTTATTTATATATAGCAATGAACTGTACATTTATTTCTTCATTTAAAATCCTCATATATCAACAATACAAGTGCCTGTTAGGCTATCATTCCCTTCCAAGTTTCTAGCAACACAATGAAAACCACAGTAACCAATGCATACTAGATCAATGAGACCACAAAATCCATGTAAAATCATGGCACAAGCACAATTAGCAGAGTAAAAATTACTAAGAGAGTAAAAATTACTTCTTGAGTATTTCTAAGGGAAAGGGGGGAAAATAATTATATGAGAAATTAGAACCAAAAGTTCATTACMGATAGTGGAAACATATGTTGCTTTTGAAATCAGATGAATAAGAATTCATGCCTGATACTGAATGAAACAGGTGTCAGAAATTACACTAAGAGACAACATTAGAGACAAGGTCTGACTGAAACTTCAGTTCTATAGAACAGAACAGAAACTGCACTTCAAGAAGTTTATAGACACCCTGTGAGAAACATTATTAAAAGAGCTTGTGAGTGTTAAAAATACATGCATGCAAAAAAAAATTAGTATTGTATTTCAAATCTAGCATTTAAAAGAATGCTGAGTTACTTTCCAGGGAGTAGTAACTCTGGACTGTTACTCTTCTGAAGAAAAAAAAGCACAAAGAYAACCCATCTATCTTTAAGTATTAATATTGTCTAGCTACCACAATCCCAAAAAATTAATTAGATGCAGCAAGCAGTATTTTGTAAACACTACCTGTTATATCTTATTTCTGAGAAAAATGTGCACATGATCAATACACAGGTATTAAAATACACATTTTTCTTTTAAMAAGGTAAACAGATCTAGATTCCAATACTGTTAAATAACTCAAGAAGATGCAAGTCGAGCACTTATCACACTGTTAATTATAAATCAAGTTCTTATTTTTCAATACATTTTGAGCAAAATTTTCTTCAGAAGTTTAGTATGTGGCATGTCTAGGAAGTCAAGCTATTACAAACTCACCTAAATAAGTATCTGGCATAAGATRTCCCTGTCAAACTTAAGACTCTAAATGGGTTTTTTACTATGACTATATATTCACTCCTTCTTTCAGTTATACACCTCTATTTAAAATAGTAGGAAGGCAAGGCTAAATTTGACTCTTTGTTGGAAACAGACAGCTTGCCAAAGCCATAGATTAATAGCACTACTTCTCATTTAGGGTCAAGGTGAATTCGGCAGTCCCATGCCTTTAGTCCCTATTGCTGTTGTCCAAAAGGTCAGTTCACCATTCATGAAGTGTCTAGTTTGTCCCAAGCAGAAGTCCCATGAGGAACAGCAAAAATGGCATGTCTTAAACAGTCTTAAACATACACATTTGACACAACTGCAAGAATAAGTCATAAATCTCACCTAATGATAGTGATTATCCCTCCCCTTTAATGCTGAAATATCCTGAACTGCCATACAACCTACTCAGCTGTTAACATTTAAGATAATTGCTGCAGATTACTTTTGTAGTTCATGAACAGATCTTAGAAATTAAGAATTGTGAAACAACTTTAAAACACAGAGGATTCCACAGTAGGTTTAATTCCRTTATTTCTTTTTGAATTATAGAAATTGTAAAAGCTCAAAGGTTAAATCTTTGCATCTCTTCACACAGTTGRAAGATAGATGCAAATACACAGTGTGAAATCTGTCTCAGATAAGACAACAGTTTTCATCCACAGATTTATGTGCAGCTGTCATACATACTTATGATGTCARGTATCCTCTACCTTTTTCTTCTACACCTGAATTTCCAAATAATACTTTCAGTTTAATGATTACAGAAGCTTGAGGAAGTTGCAAATTCACTGTGAAGGAGAACATGTCTAAGGCAGTTTTCATGCAGCTGAGACACCTTCTAAACACCACTCCGCATAAAACATCAGGAAGATGAACAGTTTTTCTTTTAAAATTTGAAGGGCTGTGGTCACCGAAATAGCTCAAAGGACAGGGCAAAAAAAAAAAATAAGTAAAGAGCTAGTACCGATACACATTTTATATAAACACAATGAATCATTTTTTAGCTGGTGACTGAAAACAATTGCGATGACGCTTCAACAGAACAACTTAATATGCCAAAAAAGAGCGGCATGTTAAACCACAGATTCTGTAATGATTTCAAAAAGTCCGCAGGGCAGACTTACTACATTTTACATAAAACAAGACAGCAGAGAACCACCATCAGAGGGCATCATTCATGAGTGATCTGCCAAATACACTACCGTAAAGTAGCAAGTTATTTTCTAACTCCCTCACGGGCTTCTCCTAAAACTGCATGAGGTGCTAAATACAACCAAGTAGTTGATTCTTTCTCTTTTTTTTTAATCATCGCAGGCGCGCAGCTGGGTTTCAAACTGAGTGATTCAACGCGGTCCCCGGGAAACTCGACCCTCCCTGCAGCAGGTCAGAGCAGGTTGAAAATCGCGCTGGGGATGAACCGGGACACGTCCCGCCCGGCCGCGCTCGGGCCCCGGTGCCCCCGGCTGCTCGCCCCGCGACCGGGGCCGGGCTGAGGGATGGAGGCGGGCGGGATTAAGGCGGGATGCGGCCGTCCCGCCCGGGGAGCATCGGCAGCTGCCGCCTCGTCCCTGCGAGAGCCCCGCCGACAGCCCGAGCCCGCACCGCCCCGCTCCGCTCCCCTCACGCAGGCGCCTCCCTCCCGCCCTCCGGGCAGCGCCGCCGGCGGGACCYTCCCCACCCCCGCCCCGCCGCGGGAGTTGGCGCCGGGACGGGCTGAGGGGAGAGCGATACTTGCCCAGGTGGGGACGAGGAGGCTGCCGGGCCGCTCGAGCGGTGCTGGAGGAGGCTGCTTCCCCGCCACGCTCATCTCCTCCCATGCAGCTGGCGTAGTCCTCTCAGACGGGCGGCTCGGCGGGACGCGGCGCCCCCGGCACSGACTCCCAAGCGCCCGCCCCTGCCGGCAGCGCCGACGTCCCGGCTCCGCGGGGCAGGCTGGCTCCGCGCTGCGCTCCGCCGCCCGCGGCCCGGGTGGGGCGGGTGGGACGAGGGGCGTTCGCCGAGGGCTCGGAGCCGGGAGGGGAGAGGAAGGCGGCGGCGCGGCGCTGGCTATTTAACTTGTCTCTTCGCCGGGGGAAGGTGCCGCTGCTCCCGTTCCCCTCCCCTCTGCGGCCGCATCCCGACAGCCGAGCTCTGGGTGCTCCTGCGAGCGCTGCCGCGCTCCTCCCCGACACCGCACGGCTCCGCTCGGCCCGCCCGCGCCGCCCCGCGGGGTGAGGGCGGGCGGAGGCTCCGGCCTCCCGTGCCCCTCCGGTGGAGCGAGCTGTGGGCTTGGGGAGCTGCTGCTGGAGAAGGGTGGGCGATGTGGCGGGGCCGTGGGGCTGAAGGTGCTGCCRCTCCGAGCGCAGCCCGCTCGCCTTGTCCGCGCCAGTAGCGGGCAGTTGCGCCTGGCATTGGGTCATAAGCGAYAGCCACACATGGCCTCCAGTGCTGTAAAGCACATGGTCCTCACTCGCTGAGGATCAAAATCAAGAGTCGTTTGACATCCCTGTAGTATCGTTGGTAGCAGTGGCATTGTGTAACATATGTCCAGGAAAGGTCCCCAACCCTRAACATTGCCATCAGATAATGCTCTTCGGTGCATCTTTAGCTTCCATCCAAGTTCCTAACCATGATCTATGGCCCAGATGTAGATGGGCCAGAATTCCCCCCCCCCCAGAATTTTGGGGGAGCTTCTTGCAGTTCAGTGGTAGCAAGGTCGAAGCTGATCCTAAGGTAAAGTTCATCCTGGTCCTTAATATGCTACTTTATTAGTGGACATATTCTTTTATGGGGAGAGAAGGGAAAGCTTTTAACTTTTCCTATCAGYTGATTTAAAAATAGGTGCTTCATGCACTACCTTTCTGTTTTCTTGCCTAAATGTAATTTGAAAATACATCTGTGTTCCCTTTTGAAGCCTCTACCTTTTTCTTGCACAAAAAGATAACAAAAAAAAGCGTGATTGGAGTTGGCCAGACCTTTTTATAAAGTTACTTTTAAAGTTGCGTTTCTTCCCCCCTCCAAAAGCAGCATGAGATAAAGCAGGAAAGAAATATGATCATCTTTTTCTTGGAGGTAAATCCGTACAAAATACTGCTTGTCACTATTCTGTTTTACCTTAGAATTAATTCCTCTCCCCAGGTTTCTGTGGTCGATAAATACCTGACATCATCTTTGTCTACTGTTTGATCTTCACAAGTATCAGAGCCCTGGAGAAGATGGGGMGGGGTGGACAAGAGGGCAGCCTTCTCTGTGGGATTATGGGGTTTCATTTGTTCTCCAGAGGTGYTTGGGGTCCTCCACCAGTGCCTGAGTTGGTTTTTTTACCATGCACAGACGTGTGGAGTTCAATATAGAGCAAGAAGTCAATGCCATCCTCCTAAAGAGTTGGRGCTAGYRCTWAAKTCAATCTGCCCCAATCYATCCTGTRCAYAAAAAGCCACTTATCTCACTCTGTRCCTGTAGAAAAGTGCATGAAAATACACCAGAGTGTGACATGTTGGAAGAGATAAGACTGGGCCACTGCCTCATATGACTGTGTGTGAGGAGCTAATTTAGTTTTGATTTATCTCAACAGATTGTTGGAGAYGTGGGGGAAGGGGTGCACATGTGCCRCTTGCAGGAGTCAAGAYGGGAGAAGGCCCTGTCTCTTGGGCAAATCTGCCTGGCAATCATTTCATGTCTCACCTGGGACAGGCAGTGAGGACACCATCAAAGACACTCCAGAGACATTCTCCAGTCAGATGGCGAAAGGTCTCCACCAGTGGACTGCAWTGKAAGRTTGGACTGRGCCMATGGACTCCTGTCAGCAGGCAGATTTTGGGAGGATCTGAGAGGCATAAAAAGTAACTTTGTTACAAGCTCTTTGGGGGCTTTGGCACCCAAATCCAAAAGTGGCTTTTTGGGCTTTTGGCTTTTTTGGTTGGAACTTTGGGGCTTGGTGACCCTGGGGCTTTTTGTGTTCTGTTTGGTCTTTTGGAGTCTAGGGGCTTTTGGGTCTTGTGTTTTCACTTYGGCTCCAGCCTGCTGAGGTCTGCTTCTTGCCCTGCCTCTAGCCTGCTTTTTGTTCTTTTTGCTCCGGCCAGCCTTTTGGTTCTTCTGCTTTCGCTGGCCCTTGCTCATCCTTGTGTCTGTCCTGCCTCCCTGTGTCCCTGACAAACACCCTGTTTGCTTTGTCCCTGCATTCCTGCCAGAGCCATCCTGTGTCCAACCCTGCCTGCCTCTGACACACCCTCTGCCACATGGGCATCAGTGGCACTCTCCAACCCACTGGTGGTAATGTCACATTTTCTCCCTCTGTCTCCCCTCTCACTCTCTCTCCCATCCGTTTTCCATTTTCCTTCCTCCTTTTCTGTCTTT